AGTTTCAAAAATATCACAGTCACTACCTGATTTATGATGTTCATCGGTAGGATTATAGAAAGATGTAGTTTTTGTTTCTGATGTTGATGCTTCGGCTCGCAGTGATTCCTTTTGTTTAATTCTTCGGTAGAAAGTACTAGAATACCTAAATTTCTTTTTATTCACCTTAGGCATTTTACAAAATTTTAATAAAGCTTAAAAGCTAGTAAACAAACACTAAAACAGAGCAGTACACGATGCAGTCTGAGGCATGTACATTTATTAGGGTATATTAAGTTATAGTCACTATAAAGTAGCCGTTTTTGATCCCCGTGACTTTTTAGTGGCAATGGATGAGCGACGGCTACTTTATAGTGACCTAGGAAGGTAGCAGTAACCATTTTGCTACTTTCAATGCTACTATAAATTAGAAGTAACTAGGTGTCGTGGCCGCGACTACCCCGTAACTTAAATTGTTACTATAAAGTAACAAAAACTTAATGGAGGCATTATGGTAGCACTTGTTAGTAACCGCTACTTTGAAAAGTTACTATAAAGTTTTTGGTCTTTTATGGTGTCATATTTGAAGATTCGGGTAGTTCCAGCCACTTCTTTAAATTACATGTTTGCGACTTGCAATCGGGGTGTTTATTTTCCACTTTTATTGTAGGTAGGCACTAACCGGTCACTCTCGAAATATACTTCAAAGTGACTATCCCTTATAGAGTAACATTTTAAGTGGCAGAGTGGGCCCAGGAACTATACTTTAGGGGCAGTGACATTTTAAAAAGGACTGGGAACTATATTTGCTAGTTGGGTTGGTAGTTATTAATTTTTTATAAAAATATATAATTATAATAAAAATAGATAAATTATAATAATTATTTATTAACACAAACATCCGATACGCGCTATGAAACAGGTAAGTCAAATTGACGTATCTAAATTCTTTGGCATCTAATATTTGACAAGTAGTAAATAAAAGTAAAAAATTCAAAATAAATATATATATATATATATACAATTAGTTAATTTTAAGTGAATTTCATAAGTCATCGGTTTACTACACCTATGTATATTATATAGCCACTTACTAGTGCAAAGTTATTCCATGTTTTCCCTCGATTTTTGACCGAGATCTACACATCCGCACACTACACAAACAACTATTTTACAGTCTTTTTCGATAAATTGCAATAGTGTTCTGCTACAATTTCCTTCTAGATTTACTACCTTTAAACAACTATCAGTAGTAGAATAAATAATAAATAACAAAATAAGCTCAGTAAAGACTGACAAATCCACAAAATTTCAAATCAAATTCAAATGTGTCAAATGAATCGTCGAATACATGGATAGCAATCTTTTTATTCAAAAGTTTGACAGTAGCATACGAGGTAGATAAGCCGACGAGGTCTTTATTAACTAATTGCTTATTTTTATCTCTGTACACCAATCCCGACCTTACCCGACAATTAACCCTAAACTTTTTCACTGACATTGACACAATCATTTTAGTTCACGATCGTTTCTTTTTTTTGCCAAATTCTTGTCAGTTCCTATTAAAAAAATATCACACGGCGATGAGTTCTCATAGAAATCGACGTCAGAAACGCCTTCGATCATTGAAAAACAGAGAGAACATTTCCGTAAGTCCAGTTCCATTGAAGAAACCAAGATTACTACTCAATTACACGCTGCTCATACCCGACGAAATACTCGTGCACATTTTCTCGTTCTTATCCCACCAAGAACTGTTTGATAGCGTGAAATGCGTGTGCTCAGATGGTTTAGAGTAGTTTGTACGCCCACGTTATGGAAAACAATTTCGGCTGATAATAGTATCCCGACAAACAGTTTGTGTGGATGGTTGGAACACGCTCCTTTTACTTAAAAAAGCGTCGTTTTTTGAACAGAAATGATATGAACTTTATTATCAACAAGATTTCGAAATATACACCTCGATTGCAAACGATAATAGTGAAAAATTGTTGGGGGCAACGATAAATCAAACGTTATCCAAGCGAAAGCTTTTGTACAAACTAGTTAATAAATGCGAGTCTGAACAATTTTGTGTTTGCAGAAACTAGAATCAAATCTACCAAGTTCTTTAAGCTTCTAGCTGCTAGAAAAAAAGTACGCCAGGTTTTACCAAGTTGCTCATATTCCGGACCGATCAGTGAGAATCAGATAAAAGCCTTGCTGGAAGCTATCGCAACTCGGAAACACTACTATCTGTCGACGCTGGGCGCTGGATCGAAAACTGGACTAATTGTTGATAGTCGCCTTTTCAACGTTGGAGGTACTCCGCCTCATTTAATAGTTCGTCAGGTGTGGAGTACCATAATGAAAACACATTTAAACGGATCATAGATAAATAAAGCTCTTCAAGTACCTGACAGCGTAAATGGTTGTGTGATCTATTTAGTATAAATAAGAAATCTAGAGGTAACTTATTGTTGCAGTTACAGTAAACGTTTAGAGTATTGTGAAAATTGAATAAAGGTATAATATTTCATTGACTTATCATTTTCTACCAGACACAAAGAGCGTTTTAGGTAAAAATCCACAAATATGTTTTGTGTAATCTATTTAGTTTCTATTCTTGCCAAATTTTTATCAGCTTCTATTAAAAAAAGATTACTCCGCGATGAGTTCTCATATAAATCGATGTCAAAAGCGTCCTCAATCGTTTAAAAAACGAGAGAACATTTCTGTAAGTCCAGTTCCATTGAAGAAACCAAGATTACTCGATTACACACTGCTCATAGCCGACGAAATACTCGTGCACGTTTTCTCATTCTTATCCCACCAAGAACTGTTTGACAGCGTTATTAGATGCGTGTGCTCTAGATGGCATAGAGTAGTTTGTACGCCCACGTTATGGAAAACAATTTCGGCAGATAATAGTATCCCGACAAACAGTTTGTGTGGATGGTTGGAACAAGCTCCTTTACTTAAAAAAGCGTCGTTTTTGAACAGAAATGATATGAACTTTATTATCAACAAGATTTCGAAATATTCACCTCGATTGCAAACGATAATAGTGAAAAATTGTTGGGGCAACGACAAATCAAACGTTATCCAAGCGAAAGCTTTGTACAAACTAGTTAATAAATGCGAAAGTCTGAACAATTTCGTGTTTGCAGAAACTAGAATCAAATCTACCAAGTTCTTTAAGCTTTTAGCTGCCAGAAAGAAGTACGCCAGGTTCACCAAGTGCTCATATTCCGGACCGATCAGTGAGAATCAGATAAAAGCCTTGCTGGAAGCTATCGCAACTCGGAAACACTACTATCTGTCGACGCTGAGCGCTGGATCGAAAACTGGACTAATTGTTGATAGTCGTCTTTTTAACGTTGGAGGCACTCCGCCTCATTTAATAGTTCGTCAGGTGTGGAGTACCATAATGAAAACACATTTAAACGGATCATAGATAAATAAAGCTCTTCAAGTACCTGACAGCGTAAATGGTTGTGTGATCTATTTAGTATAAATAAGAAATCTAGAGGTAACTTATTGTTGCAGTTACAGTAACGTTTAGAGTATTGTGAAATTGAATAAAGGTATATTGACGTTTCATTTTTTGTCAGATACAAATATCTTTGTTTGGGATGTAAATCTTGAAAACATTTTGGATATGAATATTTTGGTTTATTCAAGATTGATCCTTTATTTTTGGGCTATCATGATAATATCATAATAAATATATGCTCTTATCAAAAAATATTGAAAATAATTTTTCATGAGAATGAATGAAATATTTCGTTCTAGTACTACAAGAGAAGATAATACAAATTCAATATTTTTTAAGGTAATTAATTAGAAATCGATTTATATCTAATATAAGTTTTGATTTGGTAATTTCCTTAATTTAATAATTAATAATAGACCAAAAAGAATCAGGGAAACTAACCACAAAAAAAACCAGAAATGATACGCCCATATAATTAATATTAGCTGTAAATAAAAAGTTCCGCCTGTTATATACCCCACAAATGTTAATGATCCAATAAATGAATATCGCAAAGAAAAACTATAAAGATCGGAAAAGAAAAAAAGACAGTTTTGTTTGGATTTTGGTTTCTATAGAAATATTAAACGAGTTCAGACAGCTAGAGATCAATTCGTTATTGATAAGATCCAAAATTTTTTATTTTTAGTTCGAAGTTAGAACTAAAAAATATGTTGTTAGCTTTGACTTGTAAATTATAATTTATATTTTATTGTTAAAGGCTTCAAGGAGAACAACAATTTGTATTAAAATGAAATTTTTGTGAGCATACGCAGGTTAATTTAGAGACACTTTTTAAAATATAGAGTGTTCTACAGGGTGTCCCCAACAAGAAGTTACACATCAAAGTCGTATTTTTTTTGTAATGGAACACCCTATATATTAATTGATTTTCAGATTCTAGCAGAGAAAAATAAAGATGATTTTTACGAAAGTTTATGAAAATATCTAGGAAAATCTTTGTCTGAGGTATATGCAACCTTAATAATATTTTGAAAATATGAATTCTCCATTGAGCACTGGAATAATATACTGGGGTTCCATTTAAAAATAAAGTAACTTGCTTTTTTAAAACTGACCAATGTTCAATATTAATTTTGTCTCACCCTGTATATAATTTTTCGGGTCAAATTTTAATTTGGTTTAACATACAATAGTTATTAAAATTAAATATCGGGCTAAATACAGGGTAAATTAGAATTTAGGTAGCTGTTATTGAAATTTAAAATGTATTCATCATTTTCACAAAATTGGAAATATACGTCAAAATTCATACATTTTAGGCATATGCTTCTTTAATGAAACTCACCTTAATTTTTTTTCTGGAATCCGAAAATCAATTTATAATTATAAATATATAATAATGAATATATCTATAACAAAAAATCAAGAAATGGAGTTTTCAAGGCAGCGCCAGCGAATAGATAGACTCTATATCTTTTAACATCTATGTAAAAACCGCAATAAACAATACAAGCAGCTACATAATGAAATCGACTCTATGAGTGTTACGACGCTTTCAAAACCCAAGAAATCGTTTTTTTCAATCTGGGTAATTGTATAGAAAACGAGGGCATAGCACCCTTAAACAACGGGTAAGTATATTTTAATTACTTTTTCCATAATATATAATTTTTTGAAATGCATAATAATTTGATTAAAAAAATGAGCTTGAAAAGTAAATGAAAGATTTTAAAATTTGTCAATGGACATGAAGTAAATTATTTATTTTTACTATTTTAAATTCAAAATTATAAAAAAAAATTCACTAAAATATACACAACTTTTATAAAACTACATTATCAAATTTGGTAATTGCGTTCCATAGTTATAATTGTTGTTTATAAATATAAATATCTACATATATAAAATGCTAATGTTTATCCGTGTCGTCTCTACTGAAGTAACGACTTGTTCTAGAAAGTTGCTTTTTTACTAAAAGATAGCTAATTGGCTCTCTAAAAACTTCTTAGAATTTTTGAAAAAAAATTTTCATTTTTTTTTAATTTTTAGTTAAAAGACATTATATCTTCATACAATGCCAACATATATAGCAGATTAAATTTACAAGAAAAAAAATAGAACAGATTCAGTGGTTCTCAAAATTTAAGCGAATTTTTTTTTTATTTTCTGTTGGCGATTGGCAATTTTATAACAAACGGAAATAAATAATGTTTTTGCTCTCCCTGTGTAATATCCAAATAGTTAATTCAGGCACATCGAATATATCGACTTTGGTTAACCTATAAACCAAATTTCAACTTTCAAAATGTTCAATTCATGCTTTTACCAATATTTATTCAAGATCATGTAATTGTCAATTTTACACATGTTTTATTTTTTTTATCTCCAAAAAGAACCGTATGATCGAGAAAAGACGGCGTCAGCGATAGCTATGAAATGAATATCACTGTCAATTTATAGGTATGTAAATTTATATAGGAAATGTCATCGACCGTCATTTCCCAGCCAACGGGACGCCATTTTTTTTCGATCATACGGTAGATAGGTTAGTATATAAAAAATTATAAGATATGAAAGTAGTTTTAAAAAAATGTAATAATATACCAATATACCTAATGTTCCATTTAAAGCAACAAAGCTGCTACCGCTTTTAGTATGAAGTGGGAACACTGTAATGCTAAAAATAATTTAGACAGATAGAACTGGTGGCATTATACAAAAATCCAAATTTTTAAAAAAATCCTATCGTCGGTTCTCCATAAACGTCTAACGTACATGGTCATGAATCACCATGTATACTTAACATGCTTTGATGTTCTTAATTTAAGATATAATGAGATAAATGATATTTTAAATTCTTGTTTCTGAACCATTTTTAAGATATACAATTTAGTGCTTATATTTAGTAACGTTCCTATAAAGTCAAAATTGTTAATTTTCATGACTCGTGAAAGTCGAAAAATTGCCTGTTTGATTATTTAAAAACAACACCTTTTTGTAGTCATGTTAACTTGTAAATAATAATTATTATTTACAAGTTAACATGACTACAAAAAGGTGTTGTTTTTAAATGTAGGTATAAGTATTTAGAGGCTCTGTATATGGCTGTAAAATAACTGTGACTATAAAGATATATTTTCTAATGTTCAAAAAATGATTTACTTCATAGATGATGTAGAACATTCCACCAAAAAAGGTAATATGTTAAGAAGTTGAGGGGTTAAACCTTTGATTGTTAAACAGCAAAATAATAACATTAAATCACCGACAATATACCAAAAACACTTTATAAATTTTACACTGGACGCAGTTGACGCTAACCATGCCAGTATATCAGCAGATGATTATAAAGTATAGTACAATCTACAAGTGAGCGTTTATATACTCGCTCAGTGGGCACCGAGTGGGCGTGGCAAAATCTAGCCAACCGAGTCAGAGCCCACTGAGCGTAACAGTTAGATTTCCGCCACTAGAGTAGTAGGAACAAAGAACTTGAAGGAATTGGACCGTTGACTCTGTTCATACTATCTTTACATTTATTAATTTTGATGCTTTCATATGCATCTAATTGCTTGTAATTTGAGATTTGTTTAATTAATTTTAAATTATTAAGATCTATACAATGTTCTTTATCAACAATATGTTCGGCAACGCAAGATTTATCCGGTCTACCATATCTTATCTGAGCTAAATGTTCTTTAAATCTAGTTAATATTGATCTTCTAATTTACCCAACATATTTCTGATTACAATCTTTACAAGAAATTTCATAAATACCCGACCTTTCCAGTGGAGGTGTTTTATCCTTTGGATTACCTAATAATTGTTGTAATTTATTATTAGCACTATACACAAGTTTATAATTGACATTCTAAAAAATTCCTTTTAGACCACGGGATAACTCTCTATCAAACGGTATTGAAAAATATTTAGACGTATCTTTCTCCACTTGAAAAGTCGAATTTTCAGAAATCATTAACCTATACCTACGTTTTCTAATTAACTTATCAACTAGGGAAGGAGAATATCCATTACACTCAGCTACATTCCTAATGTAATCTCTTTCTATTTCATATCTTTCGTTGGAAAGTGGGAAACTAAGTAATCTATGAACTAAGAAATAGAAACTAGCCATTTTATGTTCAACACTATGATGTGATTCATTAGGAATATATCTACGTGTGGTGGTATTTTTCCTATAGATATCAAATTCCAGGCAATTATTAGTATTTCTAATAACTAATACATCTAGAAATGGTAATCTGTCGTTGTTCTCAATTTCATGCGTAAATTTAATGGAAGAAAAACGATTATTTAACTTAGAAATAAAATTATCTATGGTGTCTCAATGTGTGTCAAAAACAACAAAAATATCATCCACATACCTAACCCATACTCTTGGAAAATACTTAAACTGATTCTTAGCTTCCACTTCAAACCTGCTCATGAATAAATTAGCCAAAAATGGAGACAATGGATTACCCATTGCTGTACCTTCCCGCTGTTCAAAAAAGTTGTTATTAAATTGAAAACAGTTTTGTTTCATACATAACGATGTAAGCTCAATATATTCAATCACAGTTTTGTTGTCGAGACCATTTGCGTTCAGTAATTCCTTCAAATAGCCTAAAGTATGTGGAATTGGAGCACTTGGGAACAACGAAGATACATCAAAGGAGACCAAAATTTCACCTTCATGCAATGTTATATCTTTAATTTTGTTAATGAATTCAATATTATTTCTAACTGAGAAAGAAGGTTCATGATCAGGTAAATTTTCAAACTCACTTGATAACCATTTTGCCAAATTATAAGTCGGAGAACCTACAGCCGAAACAATTGGGCGCTTAGACTTGTCCGGTTTATGAATTTTTGGCAAAGCATACAATTTTGGTAATGACAGATTGGATACTTGCAATTTCCTCTTTAAAGAAAGATCAATAAGGGTGTTACATTCTTTTAGAGTTTTTTTAACGTCTGCTACCATCTTAGACAAGGGATTCTTCTTCAAATTTATGTAGGGGCTATTATCTATTAAGTTGTTAACCTTATCGTAATAGTCTTTTTTATCTAATATAACAACCTTATTTCCCTTATCAGCTTTTAGGTAGAAACAATCTTTGTTATTGACAATATTGTGTGTGCTCCTTGTTAGATTTTAATCATTTATTTGAAACGATATTTTTTGATAACTGATTTCTACAAACCTCTCTTGTAAATACTTTAGAAGCCTCGGGCAAGTGCTGAATAGCAGTTTCAACACCAACGACGATTTCCTCCAAAGCGCTACCAGAGTTGGGCAATGCAAACTTTATACATTTGTTTAATAAACTGAGCTCTTGTTTATCAAAAGTCTGCGAAGAAATATTCTCTACTATGTTTGTCTCTTTGGAAAACATGTTTGTTTTTAGAGCTTTTTAATTTTTTAAACTTACTATTCAAAATGGACATTTTCTTAACGAATTTTGAATTGATAACCACAAACATATTTCTCTGAAAGAGACACCAACATTCATACTCTACATTAGTTAGCTAAGAAAGCTTATAAGTAAGTTTTTTGTAAAGTCCATAGGCTTCAATTTCAAGCATACTTCGTTTACTATACAGAAATTTGATTTCTAAATCAAGCCATTTTTGTTTTGCAATTTTCTCTACCTTATCACTAACGTTACTTCTGAATTGGCTTTGCATGATTTAAGAAACCAAATATCTGCTCCTAATAACCTAATCTTAGTACTAAACTTACGATAAAGATCTCAAATTACAGGCAATTAGATGCATATGAAAGCATCAGAATTAATAAATGTAAAGATAGTATGAACAGAGACAACGGTCCAATTCCTTCAAGTTCTTTGTTCCTACTACTCTAGTGGCGGAAATCTAACTGTTACGCTCAGTTGGCTCTGACTCGGTTGGCTAGTTTTTGCCACGCCCACTTCGTGCCCACTGGGCGAGTATATAAACGCTCAACTTGTAGATTGTACTTTAGTTTATAATCATCTGCTGATGATGCTAACATGGTTAGCGAAACGCGCGTCCAGTGTAAAAGTAAAATTGTTTTGGTGTATTGTGGTGATTTAGTGTTTTTATTTTGCTGTTTAACACCAAAGGTTCCAACCCTCAACTGTAATCTTCGATGGCTTCACGGTCAACGGAACTGAATCTTTATCGTAAGTTTAGTACTAAGATTAGGTTATTAGGTGCAGATATTTGGTTTCTTAAATCATGCAAAGCCAATTCAGTTTATCCTAGTTTTATTAAAGTTGATATTCCGAAAAGTAACGTTAGTGATAAGGTAGAGAAAATTGCAAAACAAAAATGGCTTGATTTAGAAATCAAATTTCTGTATAGTAAACGAAGTAGGCTTGAAATTGAAGCCTATGGACTTTACAAAAAACTTACTTATAAGCTAACTAATGTAGAGTATGAATGTTGGTGTCTCTTTCAGAGAAATATGTTTGTGGTTATCAATTCAAAATTTGTTAAAAAAATGTCCATTTTGAATAGTAAGTTTAAAAAATTAAAAAGCTCTAAAAACAAACATGTTTTCCAAAGAGACATAAACATAGTAGAGAATCTTTCTTCGCAGACTTTTGATAAACAAGAGCTCAGTTTATTAAACAAAGGTTTAAAGTTTGCATTGCCCAACTCTGGTAGCGCTTTGGAGGAAATCGTCGTTGGTGTTGAAACTGCTATTCAGCACTTGCCCGAGGCTTCTAAAGTATTTGCAAGAGAGGCTTGTAGAAATCAGTTATCAAAAAATATCGTTTCAAGTAAATCATTAAAATCTAACAAGGAGCACAATATTGTCAAGAGTTTGCGTAACAAAGATTGTTTCTACCTAAAAGCTGATAAGGGAAATAAGGTTGTTATATTAGATAAAAAAGACTATTACGATAAGGTTAACAACTTAATCGATAATGGCCCCTACATAAATTTGAAAAAGAATCCTTTGTCTAAGATGGTAGCAGACGTTAAAAAAACTCTAAAAGAATGTAACACCCTTATTGATCTTTCTTTAAAGAGGAAATTGCAAGTATCCAATCCCTCATTACCAAATTGTATGCTTTATTAAAAATTCATAAACTGGACAAGTCTATAAGTGCCCACCAGAATCGGTTGTAGGTTCTCCAACTCGGCACTCTGGGTGTAAAATGGTTATCAAGGAAGTCTGTAAATTTAATTGGGATCAGGGAAATTCTTCAAGCAAAATATTGACAACTGATCAGAACCTTCTTCGCAGTTAAAAATAACATGGAATTCATTAACAAAATTACATATACATTGCATGAAGGTGAAATTTCTAGTTTCCTTTTGATGTATCTTCGTTAGTTCTAAGTGTTCCAATTCCACATAATTTTAGGCTACTTGAAGGAATTGACTGAACGCAAATGGTCCTGACAACAAAAACTGTGACTGAATATATTGAGCTTTATCGTTAAGGTATGAAACAAACAGAGCCTTTCAATTTAATAACAACTTTTTGAATTAGCAGGAAGGTACAGTAAATGGGTAATCCATTGTCTCCATTTCTTGGCCGAATTCTCGATTCATGAGCAGGCTTTGAAGTGGAGGCTGCAGAATCAGTTTGAGTATTCCAAGAGTTTGGTTTGTGTATGTGATGATATTTTTGCTGTTTTTGACATACACATTCAGACACCATAGATAATTTCATTTCTAAGTTAAATAATCGTTTCCTTCCATTAAATTTACGCATGAAATTGAGAACAACGACAGATTACCATTTCTAGATGTATGAGTTATTAGAAATATTAATAATTGCCTGGAATTTAATATCTATAGGAAAAATACGACCACACGCAGATATATTCCTAATGAATCACATCATAGTGTTGAACATAAAATGGCTAGTTTAAATTTCCTAGTTCATAGATAACTTAGTTTCCCACTTTCCAAAGAAAGATATGAAATAGAAAGAGATTACATTAGGAATGTAGCTGAGTGTAATGGATATTCTCCTTCACTAGTTGATAAATTAATTAGAAAACGTAGGTATAGGTTAATGATTTCTGAAAATTCGACTTTTCAAGTGGAGAAAGACACGTCTAAATATTTTTCGATGCCGTTTGATAGAGAGTTATCCCGTGGTCTAAAAGGAATTTTGAAGAATGTAAATTATAAACTTGTGTATAGTGCTAATAATAAATTACAACAATTATTAGGTAATCCAAAGGATAAAACACCTCCACTGGAAAGGTCGGGTATTTATGAAATTTCTTGTAAAGATTGTAATCAGAAATATGTTGGGCAAACTAGAAAATCAATATTAACTAGATTTAAAGAACATTTAGCTCAGATAAGATATGGTAAACCGGATAAATCTGCGTTGCCGAACATATTGTTGACAAAGAACATTGTATAGATCTTAATAATTTAAAATTAATTAAACAAGCCTCAAATTACAGGCAATTAGATGCATATGAAAGCATCAGAATTAATAAATGTAAAGATAGTATGAACAGAGACAACGGTCCAATTCCTTCAAGTTCTTTGTTCCTACTACTCTAGTGGCGGAAATCTAACTGTTACGCTCAGTTGGCTCTGACTCGGTTGGCTAGTTTTTGCCACGCCCGCTCGGTGCCCACTGGGCGAGTATATAAACGCTCAACTTGTAGATTGTACTTTAGTTTATAATCATCTGCTGATGATGCTAACATGGTTAGCGAAACGCGCGTCCAGTGTAAAAGTAAAAGTGTTTTGGTGTATTGTGGTGATTTAGTGTTTTTATTTTGAGGTAATATGTATTCTTGAATAAGAACGTACAAACATTATTATAAAGTTAATTCTTTTCAACAGTGTAATCGTGAGGGAGCAACAACCCTATATCAATTATCGCATTTTCTAAAGTGAGACTTTTAATGCTTCCATCACACGCTATGCCTTGCTTTACGGGATTGTAAAACACAATCTCCTGCAATTTTTCAATCGACGTTATTATTCATAAAAACGAACGAAAAAGTCGTTTAATAGTTGTATAAAGTTCCGCAAAGTGTCGTTATCACTGCTAAATAAAATTACAAGCACTTACTAACTTTGATGCAATTGTTTGATCGTAAAAACTACCGAAATCGTACAACTTTTCTTTAACGAAATATTTTTATTACTCTTTAACTTGGTTTCTCTTAAGAACTGATACCGGTGTTGTCCCGGATCTATAATAGAGGATATATCTTTCTTTCTTTTATTGCTTTCTTGGATTTGATGTCAATTCTTATTGTGAGGATATTATCATGACCCTCCTCCCTCGAGTTGACTCTTTAACTTGGTCTCTCTTTAAACCTGATACAGGTGTTGTTCCGAATCTATAATAGAAGATATATCTCTCTTTCTTTATAGCTTCCTTGGATTTGAGGTCAATTCTTATTGTGTGGACCTGATCATGGCCCTCCTCCCCCGAGTTGATGACTCGCCAACTCGATGTCCTTATTGGAGTTCTAGCAAAGCTGGTGATACACCGCAGGGGTTAGTCCGTTAGGTAACATCTACAGAGCCCCGCATGTGGAAGTAAGATAGACGAAGGTTCAATGGGTTGCCCCCTAGTGCCCGAAGGTTATTGAGACCAGTAGAGGTTAGTCTTCTATCTAGTCACGCATTCCTTTGACCTGGTCCCGCCAAGTAAAATATCTTGGTGATTTTGGACCTATTTGAAAAACGTCAAAGAGAAAATATGTTTCTTTTATTGAGATCTAACAGCTCTGAAAATATTTGCACCTATTTAAGACTCACCCTGTGTTACTTCTTTCAATACCTTTTCCTACGCCATTTTAAAAATTATAGGTACAGTACTTCCAAAGTAAGTTGGAATGATTTAAGGCTCTTACATACGACAGTGCTTTTGTCAGTACAACCAACGTTAAAATTAGTGGTAGTAATTTTCATTTAGTAGAAAAAGTTAACAAAATATTCACTTTTATATATATATATATATATATATATATATATATATATATATATATATTTTTTTTTTTAATATACTTAATTTTTACTAATTAAATATTTTTTAGCCGACCATAACAATAGGTATGGTAGGCTATTAGGATCGGCAAAAAAAAAGTTTTTTTAATTTCAGTCAAAATGAGTTATTATATGTATGTATTATATATATATATATGACCTAAATACAAAATATTTTCATGGTATTTGTCTGTCTGTCTGTCTGTCCGTCTGTAACACGATAACTCAAAAACCGCTGAACCGATTTTAATCAAATTTGGCACAAAAATACTGTGGCACCCGAGAATCTGGCCATTAGTTTTTCGTGCTGGTGGTTTGGTTTGGTTTGGTTCGTAAAAAATCGTAACTCCAAAATTACAGTAGCTAGCGAAATGCGGTTTGGTTGCGATTTTATTTGATTTAATTTTATCAGTATAAAAAATAAATTGTATGAAGAAAAAAAATCAAAATGATTGATAAGTTAATTTGAACCAAAACTAAATTTAAAAAGACGTAGAAGAAAAGTATCTATTCTGAATTTATTAAAAATTATTGCAGTAATTTTAAGATATCGATTTTATTTTCTCTTGAAATATTTAAGCTATTTCAAACAATGAGCTGTTTTCTCATTGATTTCTCTTTCGATACAGGTTAAAATTAAAAAAATATATAGAGCAAATTTTCCTGCAAGGTCTTTACAAATTGGTTTAATATTAAATGATTTCAGATATCTTATTATAAATTTATACAAAAATGAACAATGCACCTATCAGTTTTGTATAATATTATATCAACGATCGAAAGAAAAACGGTATCAAAGTTGGCTTGGAAATCGATCGTCATAATATACTGTAACAGAACACCGATTATAATTTTCAATTAAAATGCACTGTGACAATAATAAAATTTTTCGTATACTCGCTATATAAACCCGTGTATTTGTATATATCAGTTGTTTACGATATTCTCCGATTGCGGCAGCACCGTCGGGGAATGGACCAAGCCTATAGTTGTCTAATGTTCACAATATTATACAATATTACTAAGTAAACAATATTATGATTAATTGTTTAAATATACCATTACTGAATTGCGTGTTTTACTTTCCAGTAACGAAATGAAGGATAGACACTTTGCAAGATATATATCTACATGTACACCTAAGCATGGAAGTCATATTTAATTAAATTAAAAATGTAGCTTAAAATATAGCATGTGTTTAACTATCATCAATAATATTAAAGTAAAATATGCAACATATTACGTTCATGATATTTATATCCGTACCGGATAATATAGAGCTAATGAAGAGCTTATATTTATAGTTTTTTTCTTAAAAAAGTACATATTTTTTTGTCAGGATCAATTTATGACAAGTAATACAACTAAAGTTTATTTACAGGGTGATCAATTTAAAAATGTCGGGAAGCAACGAACCTATAGATATCTACTATTTCCCTCCAAGTGCTCCATCGAGGGCAGCTCTGATGCTCATAAAAGCTCTCGGTTTGAAGCACAATGTCAAAACTGTCGTTTTGCCAAATGGTGAACATATGAAGCCCGAATTTTTAAAGGTAAGATATATTTTTTCTTGAGTAAAAAATACGCTGATTAAAGCAATGGCAATAAAAATATACCTATTTTTATAATACCAAATATTATTAAAGTCTATCCAACAATACAGAAAAGATTTTGGACACACGACATCCAAAAGATGACAAAAGTTATATTTAATTTTGAATTAAAATGACAGATAGCAACTACCGAGTATGTTCTTGTTGGATAGACTTTAAAAAAAGTAAAATAAAATTAAAAAAAAGTTAATAATTTGAGCCTTTTATTCCAGCTGAATCCTTTGCATACCATACCTGTTATTGAGGATAATGGCTTTACTTTATATGAGAGGTAATAGAAAATACGTATATAATGGACACACATGTATCTAAAATCAATAAATTATCTATTTTTCTAAGTAGACCATTATTATGAATTAGAAATAATGTATAAAATGTTTCAATAAAATATGTCCAGAGAATTGTATACCGGGTGTTGCATCGTCGGACGGGACATAGGAAATCCCATGTAAATTTTAATGGGGTCAATTATTGGCTTCCCTAATTATTTTAGAGAATAATTCTATTTAGGTTAATTGAAGAGCACTAAAACCCACATTCAAAAAGAATAACTTTACATATTTTTGATTAGCTCGTTTTTACGAGTTATCACAAGTTTCGTTTTTGTGCTCAAGTCATGATGGTAGAAAACCCTGTCTTTAATTTCCAGCATGCTCTTGAGGCGCTGCTAATCCTGTGCGGAATTTCAGAGTCGATATTGGCCTTTCCGAAATCAAACTGCCGAGGTAATTGAATTCCGCTACATATTCCAACAGCTCATCTCCAATTTTTATTGCATTGTTGTGATCTTCCGGGGAGTGCACATGATTTTAGTTTTATCTATATTCAGCATAAGTCCCAAGGCCTCGTATGCCCATGTATATGTGTGTTCAACATTTCTTGCAATTGCTGTAACGTATTTGTAACTAGAGTAAATTCAACCCCAAGATGCACCAAACGAATTTTGTACGTGTTTCTTTGCCCCTCAGCCTTTTTCTTTTTGTTGAACAGAACGCTGTAGTAATATAACCAGGACCGCACTAAGTTGTCGGATATTTCAAATCATAAAATTGTTATGTATATTTTTATGATTTTTTTTACTATTGTTTATATTTTATGATGGAAATTTATATTATATAAATGGGTAATTATTGGGAAAACTGGAAATCGTCCTATTTTCACCAAAATTGGTATATATACATATACCCTATTTTGAGATCGTAGATTACGAATCTGACCAAACCTAACCAACCAGCGGTCTCTTACCGTTTTTCAGAAAAACGGAAAATAATTTCAACATTGAATTTTTCTTTATTTCAGCCCTATAAAGTAATAATTTCACTATATTTTTATTATATCATAGTTTATCTAAAAGCCACACTTGATTGAGGATTGAAAAATGTCCAAAATTTTACTGAAAACACTTTTTCTTAACAAAATAACAAAGAAAATTCAGACCAGATGGAAGTTTGACATTTCATATATTCTTCTTTCTCTCTCCTATGTAATGAGAGAGACAAATATTTGAATTTTTCGGGTGATTAGGATTTTATATAAATTACCTATTATGAGATCTGACAATAGTTAAATATACCTATATCTACAAAGTTACGCGGAAGAGTTTTAATTATATTGCTTTCAACTTCTCTATGCTTAGGGGTTGGATATGATTTTAATGTTATATTATTTTAAAAAAGATTAAAAACCCTTCACAAAAGAAGTTATATAAAAAAGTTATATAAAGACTATTTATAATTTTTTATATAATAACATTTTTTATATAATATAACAAAAAGATTATCACCCTCCACATAGAAGTTGTAACCAATGCAAACAAACTTTTTTCGTGCCACTTCGTGGTTATAAATAATCAGATCTCGTTGGTAAAATAGCAGTTATGGAAGGGAGCCGTTCCCTCAGGCGACCGCCTTTCGTAATCTGAGAATAAAAAACACGCTAAATTTTACGTTCAGCATTGGCAACATTGCTTTAAATGCCAGAAACACATAACCCAACATTTTCAGATTGTTTACGAATTTATTTTAGCAAATTTTCCTCTATTATGCATAGAATTGGTTAAAAAGGTAACAGAAAATAGCAAAAACCTCATTGTTTATTGAATACCTAACAAAATATGTGCTAGAAAACCTTAAAAATATGAGAAATTAAGTAAAATTTTATGTTGAAACTATTTTCCGTTTTTCTGAAAAACGGTAAGAGACCGTCAGCAAAAATGTTCAGATTCGTAATCTACGACCTCAAAATGGGTGAATTTTTGGTGAAAATCCGACGATTTCCAGTTTTCTCAATAATTATCTTTAATTATTATCAAACTACATATAATTAGAGAAATAATGTGATGGGGAGGGGGCGGGAATATTAAGTTATTACATTACTCTTTGGCACGACCGATTTTAACAAATTTGGTGTTTTTTAAAAGGGCTTAATTTGTCCTTTAAAATAATTATCTTTTTATTTGGTACTACTGATTTTTACTTTTATTTCCATTATTGACAGCAATATCTGAATATCGGTATAAATAGGTATCTGTTTCTATAATACTATTTGCAAAAAATGCAATGATGTAAACGTTTTTACATAATTTAAAAGACCAATTGCATTATAACATAATTTAATACATTTTAGTTGACAAAAAAAGCACTTAGTTTTAACTTGCTTTCGTAGCCTGCTGTATTATCCGTTTTAAAGTATAACGACATTTTTTTTTGAAAAACTAGTCAAATAAAAACTTCTATTTTTAAACATAACATTTATTAACATTAGATTTACAAAATTTATAATTTTATTAACATTTACAAAATAATAATTTTATATAAAATATATAACTTTTGACTTTTTGTAGTAGGTACGTGTTTACTAATTGTAAAAATATTTTATGCAAACATAAATATTATTTTCTCTATTTGTAACTTGTAACTTGTACGAAGTGATCAACAATTATTATTGAAATAGTTGACCGTTCCGATTTTACTCGCTTGGTTGGGAATAAATTTAAAAAGCATTTTTATTTTATCAAACAGTATTCCTTAACGCGCTATGCAAGCCGACCCTGTAAAAAATCTCAACCGCCTACCTCAACGGCTCTATGGCTGGCCGGCCAATCAGTGTAGATTTCGTCGCTGGCTCTCGCCTGACACGTGCTGATCACGCACTGTGCATTTGTTTATACTGGTGCATTTTGAATTTGAATACAGCAAAGAATACAGTTTAGAGCAGTCATCAGCGTATTGAAGTTCTGTGATGAATTTTGTACGTGTTTTTGCCCTCAGTCCTTTTATGTTAAACAGACCGCCGTCGTATCTGTATCTTAGGCCCAAACCTCTTTCCTGCAGTTTACTGTCCACTATAATGGAGAGCGCTGCCATGAATATATTGAATAGGAGAGGCGCTAAGACACATCCCTGCATAACGCCTGTGTTTGTTAGGAAGGGATCGCTCAGTGAACCATGATATGACACTCTTGATTTGTTGTTGTTATGGAGGCTTTTACACACTGTAAGAAATTTGATGGGTACTCCGAACTTTTTCATAATTGTCCAAAGTGCATCTCTGTTCACAGAGTCGAAGGCTTTTGTGAATGCAACGTAAAGTTTAGACTGCTACTCTTTTACTATTTCCTGTAGTTGCCGGATGGAGAATATGGAATTGACGGTACCGCGGTTGGTGCGAAAACCCGTTTGCGATTCTGGGAGGATTTTTTCTATATGTGGGTGCAGGCAGTATAGTCCTAGAACTGCCGGCGAACTCTATGTGAATGGGCACCTTTAAAGTTATTAATAGATAATTAACATCCATTACTTGTTTAGTTTTAGTTATAACAATAATGTTCACATACTTAGCAAAAAGTGTGTGTTCAGACTAAAGCCCTATACTCTCTATAACCTATGACCCAATGCGTTGATCTGAAGCGTCCATGCGCCCATGCACGCATAGTGAGTATGATGCGGTTCATTGATGCCATTCGTTAGTTCGTTTGGAAATTCGTCAACCAACCCAATGCATCGACGCATTGACGCGATGCGTTGGGTTGGGGTGAGTGACTATGGGGTTAAATATTGAGATAGAAAACACTGTCTGTACCAAATGTTCAAAAATAAATTTATTTTTAGTCACGTTATAATGAAATATTTGGTGGATGTATATGGAAAAGACGACAGCTTATTTCCTAAAGATCCCAAGAAAGGAGCCATTGTAAATTTAAGATGTTACTTTAGCGCGTGCTATCTATTTCCGAGATTTGCTGAATATCACGTAAGTATAAAACATTTTCAAATACCTATCTCTTTTTTTAGGAGAATTACATTTTTGGAGAGTAAAATATTTAAATAGAGAGATAATAATTAACATAAATACATCTGATATTTGAAAAAATTAAAAATAGATTTATAATACTGAATCAGTCATTTATTTTATGCATTATACAGGGTGTCTTTAATGACGTGCTAATATTTAAGGGGTGATTCTTGGTCCTATTATATTATAGAAAACTTCATATGAATGTATGTCCTAAACCTCTTAATCTCTGAGATACAGGGTGGTAACATTTTCTAAAAAAACTTTTTTTTCACAATAACCTGATTTTATTATAGTAATCTTTATGAAACTTGATACGCATTTTCTATACATCAAAAATATCTTTTTGGTGTACAAAGGATTTATTTATTTCAACCAATGCCGTCCATACAGGTTTTACATTGAATATTTTTGAGAAAAAGTGGTACACTACTGATCTCTCCTCGGAATAAAAATTATTTTAAAATTTCCATTAATTTCTAATTTTTTTTTAATTTTCTATTTCTTGTTTTTTTTCGTTTTTCTAAAAAAACTTTTTTGCTTAAAAAATAAAATCAGTTTACATCAGGGTAAAATCAGCAATACGTAACTGAACGAAGCACAACAG